TTGAGCCTTAAAGAAAAGAACCCAAGTAAGCTCACCGCCGACTGACCACCGTCGTGAAGGGCTGATGTTCGAGGATCAAAGTTGAGCGAACGAGTTCGTCCAACACTCTTGTGATCCATTTTAGCAGCTTCCAATTGCATAGAGGAGCCTAAAAAAGATCTAATAAGCTTCATGGATCCAGGATGACCTTAAGATACTCACGCAATCCCAACATCCTCTTCTGATTCTTCTCTCGCATCAGACGATCCGTCACACTCACATGGATCCCATTCGGACGTTCTGGATGGAAATATCTGGAAATTAAAAATTAGTAGAAATGCAAAATTACTTTGTATTTCTGAGGTCTGATTTCTAGACTGGATTTCTTCGGCGAATACCTAAGGTAAACAAGAAAACAGCCATGAATTGCCTAAATAACCGGATGAGTAGTGGTATCCCACTGCCAAACGCTGCTTTCTCGATTAACTTTGATTTTCCCCAAAGGCAGCTGCTAGTGTATTGCGAGGATATAGCTGCATTGTCGACTGCTGATTACGCATGGTTCATTTTTTTTTTTTGAAACATTCAAATCAGATGAAGGCGGACAGGCTGATCCTTTGTCCCTTATGGTTCAATATATCTTTCTTTTTTTTCACTTTTCACTGACGTATTCAAATACTTTTACATAAAGAAATGTCTGCATTGTACACTAACTTGCATTTGCTCCCATAAGTACATTTTCGAGCGTAAGGACACAGCATAGCCGTAGATGGAGCAGATGTCATTGAAAGGAATTGCTGGAGACGTGGTCCATACCGTCCAAGTGGATCTTCAGGAGGCATGAACCTTAAGGGAGTCGATGATTGAAAGAAGCGAACTACAGAACACGTACTTGCCGTCGACGAAGCTATACATCAGCAGTCGTTGCTCAATAATTCGCCGATATTGTGGGTGCTCTCGTAGCAAATCCCTATGGAATGGGCGCTATATGAGAGTATCATCTACAGAAAACTGTTAGGTACCTGTAACCGTCGTTTGAAACTACCACTGCGTCCTTTTCCTCTGCCGTTTTCAGTATGTAAAGATCGTCATGGCACACAATTCGACGTCCGTTAATCCTCCTGCAAAATATAATCTGTGAAAATCCCGCTTGGCACCAAAAATACTATAAAAGAAGTTAGAACAATCCGAAGAAGAGGAAGGGAGGGCGGGG